ATACTTTCAAAAGGAAAGAAAAAAAATAGGGCAAAAAATAAACAGAAAATAGATGAAAGAAGAAATACAAATGGTTATATCTCGTGAAAGTATGTTCAACCATACCAGATCACTGAAATAAAAAAATAATTGTTAATTTGGTTGCGTTTGTGAAAATAGGCACTCATATTTGTCTCAAGTAGGAGGATGACATAGTATAAATCTGGAAGCAGTTCCAACGGTGTGTAACAAATTTTTAAATTTTTGTTATCTGATCAGTAATTTTATCTTAGCTGTTTATTCTAAGCACTAATGGAAAAATACCTGATTGCAAAACATATACAGTGTCATCTATATGGTTAGATTAGTATTTTAAAAGATTGAAAGACCATATAGAATAACAGAATATAGTTGTTATACCCAAGAGGTAGAACTGTAGATAATTTTTTTCTTTTTTTTTTTTTCTCAGTATTTTAGTCTCCCTATTGCTGGCTTTAAAATATAGGGGAGATTATACAGAAATATTTTGCCTTAAAAAATATAATTCCCCTGGGGTTGAAGAGACTCACTAAGGAGATAGTTACCTTCTGGGCTGACTGAAGTTGCTTATTAATTTCATTCAGCAGTGAAATGTGAAACTCCTGAATTTTTTTCATTGTCCTGATAGCCAGGCTGAGCTCCTTTTCAGCAGTTATTAATACTAAAATTTTGTATAACAATCTAATTACCCACTTAGGGAAGTCTGTGGTCCCCAAGACGTTGTAGCCAATCATCTTAACTGTTTAGTTTTGTAATTTTTTTTCCCTTTTAAGATATTTAAATGTCTTCCCATTTTACTCTAAAGATACTTTAAAGGCGGTGAATTCTTTATACTATTAGGGAATTTGTAGGAGAGTAATAACCTCTTTGAATATGATGGACTCTCACATTCTATAGTCCTCCTATTCTCATATCATTTAAGCTATGGCTAAATTCTAGCTATTCCTTCAGTCTTATCTAGATTACAACTTGTTAGGTCATTCTAATGACAGTTTTGACTTTCTAATTTTTTTTTCTAGTTTTGCTGTATTTTAATTTCCTAGTGACTTGTACGTGCACACGTGCGCGTGCACAGACACACACACACAGAATCATGCACCATATAACAACATTTTGGTTGACAACAGACAGCTTATACTATGTGGATCCTATAAGATTAGGATAGGATATACCATATAGCCCAGGTGATATAGCAGACAACACCATCAGGGTGTGTGTAAGTACTCTAGCATATTTTCACACCAACGAAATCATCTAATGACACCTTTCTCACACTGTATCCCCGTCATTAAGTAATACATGACTCTGTGTGTGTGTGTGTGTGTGTGTGTATTTTGGGGGGGAGGGGGGAGGGAGAGGTTTTTTGGTTTTTTTTTGCTATAGGGTGCGAGTACTTGCCAGAAAGAGAGACAGAGACAGAAAGCAAGAAGTGACCCCCTGGGTGGATGGCCACACCACAATCCCTTCTCCTCCATTCTCCTCTCGGGATTTGGATACACATACGTATGCACCCGACGTGAGTTTTAGCCACTGAGTCTAGGACTCGAACCTCAGTCAACTACATGGGAGTCCAGTGACATAGCCATTACGCCAACTGCTGGTCCCATGTGTGTATTTTTTTAAGAAAGATTCTTTTTAAAAAATTAAGTATTCATTTTCTTCCATGAGTGAGAGACAGAGACAGATAGCATCCCTAACAGGGTATTGACACTGATCCACTCCTGGCTTCACCCAGCCCTGGATCTGGGCTACACTGTACTTGCCCACTGTAGTCAGGAGGGTCTCCAGGTGCAAACTCACCTGAGCCTTCTCACGTGAGTCAGCCTCGCAGAAGTGTCACAGTTTTACCCCTGCACTACCATCTAGCCCCTAAATACACATATTTTATTAGGAAAAATAAAACTGTTTTGGTGTGTGTGTGGGGGAGCGGTAATCCCCTCAGGAACTCACTGAAAAACTTTTAGAATCTATTTTAAAAAATAGTGGGACACATGATAATGGGATGAATGTTTAAAAATCAGTAACTTTTTGCAGGACTGATACGGAGAAAAACTAATAAGACTTAACTGGAAAGTTGTTTTCTGTGTAACTGTATAAGACAGCATCTGCTGTAAGTTTTTCCTAGACTCATTTACAAGTTTAATTTCAGTCAAAATCTCAAAGGACATTTTTTAGAGACAGATTTTTGCTATAGGGCGCATGCTCTCACCAGAGAGAGAAATTACCCCTTGGGGGGATGACCTCATTGCAGTCCCTTCTCTTCCATTCTCCGTTTGGGATTTTGGGCACACACACACACGTGCTCCAGCATGAGTTTTTAAGCTGCTGGGTCCAGGAATTGAACCACGATCAACTACGTGGGAGTCCAGCAACGTAACCATTACACCATCTGCTGGTCCCAGATTTTTCTTTTTCAAAAACTGAGAAAGAGGGCGGTGCAATATCTAGAAAGAGTGATTTATAACTAATGTTAAATAGTGAAGAAACTTTTAAAAATATAATGAGCAGATGTTTGTCAATACAAAGAAAATTATTACTGTCTTAAGACATTGTAGTTCCAACAGGTAGACCAATGAAATAGAAGCAGACCTTGATACGTGTAAGAATCACTAATCATTAATCAGTGAAGGAAGAGTTTACTGTTAGAATAGTTAACCATCTGAAACAAAGGAAAGTTGAAATTCCCTCTAAATTTATGCCAAAATAAATTCTAGAAGAATTAAAGTTCAATAGGAATTAAAAAAGTTAAAATAGCATAAGAAACTAGGAGAAATGTTAGTAAATATGTATTTAGAGAAACATGGGAAGGAGTTTATAAGCATAGAAACAGTGAAAGAAATGACACAGGAAAAAGTGGGTCTTTTTTTTTTTTTAAAGTTTGTTTATTGCACAAGAGAGACAGGCACTTCCATCAGGGTGTTCACACCAGGATCTACCCCAAGCCTCAGCCATTTGTATCATGGGTACGGCATGACTAGAGAAATCACGGGATGCAAACCCAGGAATATCTGGATCCAGTTCCATTACCACTGTGCCACTGTCTGGTCCTGAAGGTGTATTATTATATTATTAAATTTTTTAGGTTTTTGCCATAGGGTACATGTGCCAACTGGAGAAGGACAGATAGAAGGAAAATAACACAACATCCCCTCAGGGAGGGTGGTCATGCTGCAGTTCCTTCTTCTCCATTCTCCTCTTAGGTTTTGGGCATGCATGCACACGTGCCTGTGTGATTTTCAAGTTCCTGGACCTGGGGCTTGAACTGCTGTTGGACATGTGGGAATCCAGCACCTTAACCACAACATCACCTGCTGGCTCCAGGTATATTACTCATAACATGTAAGAGTTGAAAACTGGGCCAGACCCGTGGAACAGTGGTTAAGGGAGCTGAATCCCACATGGTCATCCACAGTTCAAATCCTTACTTCAGCAGCTTGAAAAACGTGTGCATGTTCCTAAAATCTGAACAGGATGGAGAAATGAAGGAGAAGGGATTGCATTATGGCCATGACTCATTGAGGGATGCCTTCTCCCACTGTTATGTTTCTGTCTCTGGGAAGCACGTGTGCTCTCTGGCAATAAAAAAAAAATTTTTTTTTTGAAGTTGAAAACTTCTACAGTAAAAGGGACTGCAAATATTATTAAGAGACAAATTAAAAAATTATTTCCATCAGAATATATGTCCACATGCATGCATGCACATGCACACACATACACACTTGCACTCTGTGGGAGAGCAGGGAAGAAACTTAACACTAGCCACTGCTTAGTGACTAACCATTTTGGTATAACTATTGAGTCATTGGAAAAGTCATGACATATTTTTCTATGCAAAAATGTGTCATGACTTTCCTAGTGACTCAATATTTCTCAGAAAAATGCATGTGTTGTATATGCACACATGTCTGTAACTTCCTGAACAATTTTAGGAGACTTCTATATTTATTAGAGTTTTACCGACCACAGAAGAAATGCTTAGTAAATATGAATAAACTTCAGCCCTCCCTATTAATCAAAGGAATCAAACATTTTTTTAAAATGATAATATCAGATATTGGCAAAAATATTGCTAATGGGATATAAATTAGCAAAATGTCCCGAAAAACTATTTGACATTTAAGTTGTCAGAAGTAAAGTTTTTTCCCTAGGAATTATTTAAGAAAACATCAGAATATCAGACAGATATATGTAGCAATGATTATTATGTACTCAAATATTTATTATTATTTATGGTGGCAAAAAATTGGAAGCAGTCTAAATACTCAACCTTAGTATAATGGTTACTCTAACTTATAGCCACATAAAAGGATGTCAAGGAGCCATATATATATAATGTTTTAAAAGATTAGTGATATGATAAAACAATTTCAAGTATTATTAAAAAATAAAAGGATACCCTGAGATCTCTTTTTAAAAATTACATCTAGGTGATGGGGTTACCAATGTTTTATTTATTTATGTATTTATTTTAGGGCATGTGCACTTGCTGGAGAGAGAGAGGCAGCAAGAGAGAAAGTAAGAAATCACACACACACACACACACACCCCCGGAGGTGGGGGATGGCCACACTGCAGTCCCTTCTCCATTCTCTTCTTGGGATCTTGGGTATGCACCAGGTCTGGGACTCGAATTGTGGTCCACCATCTGGGAGTCCAGCAACGTAACCGCTACGCCATCTGCTCACCCCACTAGTGGTTTTTAATTTCTTTATTAGTTTTTGTATTGCTCTCCTCATTTACTTTATAATAACATATACTTGTTTTATAATTAAAACTTTTTTTTAAATGCAAGTTATAATGTTGTATAACTTGAAGTTTTACTTGTAAATCAGTAAAATGACAATAAATGACACTCAGAAATTTATGCAGGCTTTTCTTTTTTCTAAAAACTTAAATTGCTGTAAGAAATCTTTATCATAAAACATTTGTTGAATTAAGACTGAAACAACTAATTTTGGGGTATCTTTTTCTTTTTCTACTAGAAGTGGAAGACTTGTTTTCCTCACTTAAACATATCCAACATACTTTAGTAGATTCTCAGAGCCAGGAAGATATATCACTGCTTTTACAACTTGTACAAAATAAAGATTTCCAGAATGCATTTAAGATACACAACGCTGTCACAGTACACATGAACAAAGCCAGTCCTCCATTTCCACTTATCTCCAATGCACAAGATCTTGCACAAGAGGTATGTATTCTGAATATCTGGGTGACACCCATGAGGTACTTATTATTAAGAGTATTATTGGAAAATATTTATGTGACTGTAATACTTGTTTGAAGATTGTACTTTAATTTATTGTGGTAGAAAAAATTTGATGCATACATTTTATTCTGAGAAAATATATACTTAGAGTCAGAGATGCTTCATAGTTAATTTTGTATATAAAATTATATATTTGGATAGTAATAAATATTTGAATAACTAGAGGACAATTTTTTTTTCTTTTGAGAGGTTTTTGCTATACGGTGTGTGTGCTTGCCAGAAAGACAGAGAGATAGAAAGCGAGAAATCACCCCCCAGTGGGTATGGCCACACCGCAGTCCCTTCTCCATTCTTGTCTTGGGATCTTGGGCACGCACACACATGCGCCCGGTGTGAGCTCAGGCCACCGGGTCCGGGGCTTGAACCATGGTTGACTACTTGGGAATCCAGTGACATAGCCATTATGCTAACCGCTGGTCCCACAAAATTTTTTTTTAATATGAGAGGAACAGAGAGAAGGAGTAGGAGGAGGGAGAGACAGAAAGATATATGTTTTTTCTTTTGTTTTTTAATTATATAAATTTATTTAAGAGAGGTTACTGCTATAGGGCATGTGCACTCATCAGAGAGAGAGAGTGAGAAATCTTCCCCTGCGGGGATGGCCACACCACAGTCTCTTTTCCTCCATTCTCCTCTCAGGGTTTTGGGCACACACATGCATGCACCCAGCATAAGTTTTAAATCACTGAATCCGTAACTTGGAACTACGTGAGAGTTGAGCAGTGTAATCATTATGCCATTAGCTGGTCCCAGATTCATTCATTTATTCAAATTTTACCAGAGAGAGACAGAGAGAGAATGGGAAAGTGAGAAAGCAAGCTGTCAGTTTCAGGACTTGAATCATGGTTGACAAAGTGGGAGTTAAGTACCTTAACCACCACATCTCCTGCTGGCCCCCTAAAATAGGTATTTTTGACAGGACCTTGCTGTTAAAATCTTCTGCCCAAGGCTCCCCCCCATCCCTACCATCCTCCCATCCTCCTGCCAAGTTAGCTAGCATAGGCATGTACTGGTGGGCCTGTCCATGTCTTTACATGGCCCCAGCCTCATGCAGTGGTACCCTGCCACTTGCATTACTGAAGCTGAGGGCAGAAATTTGTAATACTTTTGGTATAGTTTTAATTTTGATAAACATTATACTTGTAAACTGAGATAAAGGAATACTAATTTTAAATGTAGTTACATAAGCATCAATTAAAAAACTAAAATAGTAACATAACTGTTCATATTTTTTCCTTTCTATATAATAATTATTAGTGTATTTTATATAATTTTATATATTTTAGTGGAAACTTTGAAGGGGAGAGTAGTTCATTCATCAACAAAAATGCCAAAATTTTTTCTACAGGTTTTTTTTTTTTCTTTCTGGTTTTTTTTTTTTTTATTTATTAATTTTTTTTTTTTAGGTTTTTATTTGCCATAGAGTGCATGTGTTTGCCAGAGAGACAGGGAGAGACAGTGGGAGGGAAAGTGAGAAATCACCCCGAAGGGGAATGGCTACACCACAATCCCTTCTCGGATTCTTGGGCACGCATGTACACATGTCTGGTGTGAGTTTCAACCAAACTGTGATCAGCCATTTGAGAGTCAAGTGCCCTAACCACTATGCCACCTGCTGGTCCCTTATCTATAATTTTTAAAAAATAAAGGACACTGTTTTTAGCCATGGCATAACAAGATTAAATACTATAAAAAATAATAATAAATTCTGAATTTTTCTTATAATTCTTTCTGGTGTTTTTCTTTTTTATGAGTTTTTTTTTTTTTTTTAATCATTTTAGCTACCACTTTAAAAATATATTAACTGGGATCAGCAGGTGGTATGGTGGTTGGGGCATTGGACTCCCACATGGCCAACCTTAGATCGAGTTCTGAACCTAGTGGCTTGCTCTCTCATTTTCCCTCTCTGTGTCTGGTGAGTGTGCATGCCCTATAGCAAATTAAAAGATATAAATAAAATTATATAATTCCTTAAAAATATATGTGCCACCCCACTTAAGTACTACTGGTATTTCCTGTAGCCAATAAAAATATGCTCTTTATTTTTGTTCCTTAGGTACAATCTGTTTTGAAGCCAATCCATCAGAAGGATGGACAAGAATTAACTACTTTGCTGAATGCTCCACATATTCAGGTAGCACATGGACAGAGAATTATATAGATGGTTTTTCTAGCTTTCTTCTTTTTTTTTTTTTTTTTAAGTTTTTTGCTATAGGATGTATGTGCTCACCTGAGAAAGAGAGACAGAGGGAAAGTGAGAAATCACCTTCCAGAGGGACTGGCCACCCCACAGTCCCTTCTCCATTCTCCTCTCAGGATTTTGGACACACATGCACATGCCCCCATCATGTTTTTTAAGCTGCCAGGTCTGGAACTAGAACCATGTAGTCAGCCATGTGGGTTCCAGCCTCCTTGACTTCCATACTACATACTGGCTCTTTTTTTCCCCCCTAATATATAAGTCTTCTAGGGCTAGAAGAGACCCCAGATATTATCTAGCCAAGCATTATTTGTACAACCCCCTCTGCAAAATTATTATTACTGTTCAATTTTTTGAAAAATTCGGAACCAGCAGTTGGTGTAATGGCTATGTCACTGGACTTGCATGTAGCTGACCGCAGTTCGAGTCCTGGACCCGGTGGCGTAAAATTCAGGTTGGGCGTGTGTGTGTGTGCATGCCCAAGATGCCGAGAAGGGAGGAGAAGGGATTGCAGCATGGCCAGCCACCCAGGGGTGTTTCCCACTCTCCCTCTGTCTTTCTGGCAAGCTCACATGCCCTATAGCAAAAACCTCTCAAGAAAAAAAAAAGAAAGAAAAGAAAATTTCATGATAAAGTGTATGTGCACGCATAAGAGCAAGAAAAGCACTGTGCCACAGGACTCAGTTATGCCACAGTACTTGTCCTCCATTCTTCTAGCCTGCCAGAATCCTGGGCATACATACGTACACATACCCAGGGTTTCATCAGGCCTGTTGTGCCAGGGATATGAACTGTGGTTAGCAGGGGGCTTCCAGTTCCACAGTTGGCATACTACTGGTTGGGGCCTGAGTATACATTTTTACATTTAAAATTAGCCTGGTTATTAAAAAAAAGTAACCAGATTACTTTTGAAACAATTTATTTTTCTTTACTACTGGACCAAAATTCCTCTTTTTTGGGTTATATTTTGCATAAATTTTAATTATCTGTGGTTTCTAGGTATTTAAATTGTTTTTATGTGGTTTACTAAGCAGTTCACATTTGCATAATCCATTCTGGGGTGTATCCTATATACATCTTTGGTTATTAGTAGCTCTAAACGTTAGGGTTGCATGTCTTAAAAATTGTAAAATTTGTAAACAGATGTAGACATATGATTAATTATACCACTTTAAAAAATTTAATGATCAGAATACTGTGTGTATGATGTGATTAAAAATATATAGAAATAAATCATGCTATTACTTTAAACATGTGAATTTCTTTGAAACAGGCACTTTTACTGGCCCATGACAAGGTTGCTGAGCAGGAAATGCAGCTAGAGCCCATTACAGATGAAAGAGTTTACGAAAGCATTGGCCAGTACGGAGGAGAAACTGTAAAAATAGTTCGTATAGAAAAGGCACGTGATATTCCATTGGTAAGTGTTCAGGATTTCTGATCCAAGATTCTTTCCTTCTTTTGTTTTTTCTTTTTCTTTTTCACTTCTTTTCTCCCTCATTTTTTTTTGGGGAGGGGCGTGGGGGGGCAGAGGATATGTGTCATCAGCAGAGAAAAGAGAGACAGCAAGAGCGAAAATGAGAAATCATCCCTTGGGGGAATGACCACACTGCAGTCCCTTCTCCTCCATTCTCCTCTTGGGATTCTTAGACACACACACACATGCGCCAGATGTGATTTTCAAGCCACTGTGTCTGGGACTCAAACCATGGTTGGCCATGAGGGAATCCAGCACTTTAACCACCATGACACCTGCTGACAATTTTTTTTTATATAGAGGTTTTTGCCTCAGGGCACATGTGCAAGAGAGAGACAGTGAGAGGGAAAGTGAGAAATCCCCCCCTATCCCCCCTCCCACCATGACCATGCCTCAATCCCTTTTCTTCCCAGGATCTTGGGAATGCACTCACGCATGCCCAGCATGATTTTCAGATCTGGGGCTTGAGCCACGGTCAGCTGTGTGGGAGTCCAGCAATGTAACCGCTACACCTTCTGCTGGCCCCTCCTGCTGACAAAATTTTAAAGTAAAAGTTGTAGAGAAAAGTGTTATAAATTGTGTCTACTTTTCAAGCTTTGTTCTCTATTTTGAGCCTACACTTTACGATTGTGTTTCTAGTTTGTGTAATAAATACTAATGTTTAATACATGTAAATGTGAATTGGATGTTGCTATACTATTTCACATTAAATAACTAGATTGGTATTCCTCTGCTTGTCATATTTTGAATTAAAAAAACTCTATATATCACATTCACTAATTACACCTAAATGTAGTGTAACCATTTGAATAGGATCCAGCATATAGAGGACAAATTTAATTATTGGTCTTCACACATTGTTTTAAAGCAAGTGCCTTTTTCTATTTTATGCTTCAAAATCTGCATGATTTCAAAATTCTAATGAATAGAGTGTTTGTAAAGCAGAAAATGTTGTGGAGAATATGGTCAGCTTTCAAATCTAATTATAATTATTACTCTACTGTGTAAGTATAGTTTTTTTTTTTTTTTAAGATATCTGAAGGCTGGTATGGTTGAATAGAAAAAAATAATATTTAAAAATGAAGAAATGCTTTAAAAAATTGCATCTTTATTTTTAAGTGAGGTTGTGTTTTGTTTTGTTTTTGTTTTTGTTTTAGGGTGCTACAGTTCGTAATGAAATGGATTCTGTCATCATTAGCCGGATAGTAAAAGGAGGTGCAGCAGAGAAAAGTGGTCTGTTACATGAAGGAGATGAAGTTTTGGAGATTAATGGCATTGAAATTCGGGGGAAAGATGTCAATGAAGTTTTTGACTTATTGGTAAGTTGATACAAGTGAAAGTATAATTAATAGCTTTTTAAAGGCTGTTTTCTTTTTTATTAGACTTTAGAATAAAATATTTTTAAAAATAATTATTTAACCTTATTTATTTATTTTTTAATTTGCTATAAGTCATGTGTGCTCACCAGTCAGAGAGAGAGAACATAAGAAAGCAAATCGCCAGGTCTGAGACTTGAACTGCAGTCGGCCATGTAGGAGTACAGTGCCCTAACCACCATACCACCTGCTGACCCCAGAATAAGATATTTTTTAAGTATTTATAAATAACTGTTAAGGGCAGTAGATAGCTTCTATTCTAGCCGAATTTTCTTGTGACAGAATTGTTCCACAATTTGTTAGAAGAGTTTTATTTTTGGGTAGGGGCCAATGATACTTTTTTTACTTTGAGCTTTATTATTACCAAGTATGTTTTATTTGCTTCTGCTTCTATTCTAGCCGAATTTTCTTGTGACAGAATTGTTCCACAATTTGTTAGAAGAGTTTTATTTTTGGGTAGGGGCCAATGATACTTTTTTTACTTTGAGCTTTATTATTACCAAGTATGTTTTATTTGCTTCTGAAATCGGTAGTAAAATAAATCTTTAATTAACTCAGTAAATATTTATTGAGTGCCTACCTTGTGTTAGCTTTTAGAGAAAGAGTAACGAAACAAAGTCTGTGTTCTCATGGTTTTTTCTTTTTTAAGTTTTTTTGCCATAGAATGTGTGCAGTCACCAGAGAGAGAGTGAGAAGGAAAGTGAGAAATCATTCCCCAGGGCATCAGGATGACCTTACCATAATGTCGTTCCTCCTTTATCCTGTTAGGATTCTTGGGCATGTAAGCACCATGCCACCTGCTAGGCCCATGTTCTCAAGGTCTTTATGTTGGTTTTCTTTTTTAGAATTATTTAACTTTATTTATTTATTTATTTTAATTTGACCAGAGAGGGGGAGAGAGAGAAAGTGAGAAGAAAGCTGCCAAGCCCGGGACTTGAACTGCTGTTGGCCATGTGGGAGTCCATTGCCCTTAATCACCATGCCTCCTACTGGCCCCTATTTTCTTGATTGTTATTTTCTATCGATACTAGATAATAGCAATGCTTATACATCTGCACTGTTAAATGTAACAGTCATTAGCTACATGTAACTATTTTGATTTAAATTCAGTAACATTAAAAATCCAGTTCCATATTCACACTAGCTGCATTTCATGTGCCAAAGAGCAATCACTATGTAGCTAATGGTTTACCATATTATGATATAGTTACAGCATATTTCTGTCATTGTAGAAAGTTCTGTTGGGCTGGTATTATTGGTAAGTCATTTATAATCGTCTTTTGAGGCTATTTATGATCACTTTGAAAACATGCACCCATTGGATATATATTCTCAGTTGTTTAGTACCAGTCGTTATAGTGGTATCTCTATTTGTTGCTGTCTGTTGTAAAATCTAGAAAACATGCAAACATGCTTATGTCTATTTTTACCCGTCCTCATTTATTGCTTTTGTAACGTTCCACTGGTCATCATTTTTAGCTTTTGTTTTGTTGGCTACCTGTTAGATTGAGCACTGCTCCCCACTGCATTGGTACCAGAAGTTGTGATGATTACTGTCTTGGCTGAAGGTGTCTGAATGAAGCAATCAATCAGTGGTGTACTAGAAAATGATAGTGAACCTAGCAGTAAGATTCCATACAGTTATAAACTACAGTGGATGACAGATGGCCCAGCCTTAGTGGTGCAGGTAGTAGCATGCCACACTGCAGTGCTGGAAACCACATGACCAAATGTGAGTTTGGATACCTGGTCAGCCTATAACAGCAGCCACGCATGCAAGTGACCAGGATCCTGATGAGCTAAAGAGCCGAGGAAAGGAGATCATGGCATGATGAAACCCTGTGGAGAGTGCCTCTTTTTCTCTGTCACACACACTGACTCACTGTCATTCACATGCACACTCGTGTGTGCTATGTCATGAATAAAAGAAAGAAACTTTAAAGAAAGGATGACGGTATGTAAGAATATTTGCATTTTTGCATAGCTTTTCTAGTCCTACTTAATTATTTTTTCAAATTCTTCTGTAGAAGATAATAAGAGTAGATAATCCATAGTTGGTATAGCGTTGTGGCATCTTAACAACCCTTTATCATGGAATCTTCCTAAACTTAAAATTGAATGGAAGAGAAAAACCCAAGACTTAATGAGTTGAGTGGCTTGGGCTAGAATTGCAGAATGTTTTATATTCTAGGATAGTTTAAATACAATGGAGTCTGTGAAAAGTGTACTTTGGGGTTCCAGAATAGTTCAGATTGGGGAATACTATGAGATCATAGAATGATTTTCATAAAATCAAGTTTTAAAAATAATGCACTTTCTATTACAGTCTGATATGCATGGTACTTTGACATTTGTTCTGATTCCCAGTCAACAAATCAAGCCTCCTCCTGCCAAGGAAACAGTAGTAAGTGATTTTTTTATATTCATTATTATTCCATGACTACTATTTGCTGCTATGTATCAGAAATGTCACTCTTAAGTATTTCTTGCACTTCAGTAAAAACGGACAAATTTAGAAGTTTTTATGTAAATAAATATGAAATATTACCCTCCACCCCCCCAGGGGGCATATGTGCTCACCAGGTGTGGTGGGGAAATACCCCTCAGTAAGGGGTGGTCACGTTGTAATCCTTTCTCCTCTATTTCTCTATCCTGTCAGGAACTGAGACATACGCATACATATACTCAGCATGTCCTTCAAGCTGCCAGGGCCAGGAGGAGTTGAACCATTGTCAGCTATGTGTAATCCAGCTCCCTTAACCTTAGACTATGGGACCAGCCCTCAACATTTCAAATTTAGTAAACTCTGACCCTTTTTTTTTTAAGGTTTTTACTATAGGGCACACACACTTGCCAAGGAGAGAGAGAGAGAGAATTAGAAGTCATCTCCCAAGGAGGATGGCCACACTGTATTCTCTTCTCCATTCTTCTTTCTCCTCTTTGGGTTTTGGGTATGCATGCACACATGCCCAGAATGATTTTCAAGATCAGTGATTTTTCAAATGAATGATTTCCTAGAACCAAGAACTGAACCACTGTCAACCATTAACCACCACACCGCTTGCTAGACCCAACTCTGATCTGAACCTTTTAAAAAGTAGAAAATCACTTTCAGAATTTTTATGATTTCCAATGTTGACTTTGCCTTTTTCTGTAAGTATCGGTGGGTTTATCTAACTTAAAAACATACTTCCCCATTGAGCAAAAAAATGCTGTTACGAATGTGTGCAATTCTTTATAGAGTGTATTGCTGTCTGTTAAACATTTATTCAACTATCTTCATTTAAAAATAGACTTTATTACTGTATTACTCATCAGTTCCACTCTTAGGTATATATCCTAGCAGTTTGAAAACATACATTCACACAAGAACTTGTGCATGAATGTGCATAGCAACACTATTCATTATATGCTGAAAGTAAAAACTACCCAGGTGTCTACCAGCTGATGAATATAAAATAGTATACAGTATATCTACACAATGGGTTATTATTTGATAATAAAAAAGACTAAAGGACTAATATATTGCTACAGGATGAACCTTGAATAAATTACGCTGAGTGAAAGAAGTTAGTCACAAAAGGCCGTGAATTGATTGATTTATATGAAATGTCCAGAATGGGTCATATTCATAGAGACAGAAAGTAAATTAGTGTTTCCTTAGGTATAGGGATGGGGTGTTAGGAAGGAATGAGAGTGACTGCTAATCATTGATTTCTTTTCGGGGTAACACAAGTTCTCATATTGTGCTACTTTGATACTTGCACAACTCAGTGAACATACTAAAAGCCATCCAGTTGTGTCCAATTGCAAGGTATAATATATGATTTATACCTTGATAAATCTGTTAAAAACTGTAGACTTTAAAATGCTGGTTTAAAACAAAAGCCTAAAGTATTGCATCTATTATTATTCATAACTTTTATAGAAGTGTAACAGTTTAAAAAGAACAGTTTCTTTTTTTATCAATATTTCATCACAGTTATGCTTTATATTTTGGCTGTCATTCCATGTTTTCCCTTTATTCTTTATGGAACATATTGAACGTTGCTTCTGCAACCTTCTATTTATAAGTTTATGGTGAAGAATCTCAAGAGCTACTTAACTATAAAGTGAAGTAGCTTTAAAAAGAAAGGAAGGGGCCGGCAGGTGGTATGGTGGTTAAGAGCGCTGGATTCCCACATGGCCGACCGTGGTTTGAGTCCTGGGCCTGGCGGTTTGCTTTCTCACTTTTTTCTCTCTCTGGTCAAATTAAAGTAAATAAGTGAATAAGTAAAATATAGTTCAATAAAATAATTCTTAAAAAAAAACTAAAGAAGGAAAAGATAGAAAGAAAAAGATAATGTCAAGATTATCTGTGTTGGGCCCAACAGGTGAAATGGTGGTTAAGGCACTAGATTCACACATGGCCAACCATAGTCAAATCCCAGACCTGGCAACTTGAAAATCTCGCCAGGCACGTGTGCATTTGTTTCCAAAATCCTAAGAGAAGAATGGATGAGACAGGATTGTGGCATGGCCAGGGCGGGTGATTTCTCACTTTCCCTCTCTCTGGAGAGCACATGCAGCCTATGGCAAAAATCTAGAAACAGAAAATTGTCTGCTTTAAACCATAGCGTTTAATTAGTAGGGATTTTTTTCCCCCCAAATAACAGTGATCTACAATATTTTTCTCTTCCTTTGCTACTTCTATTAAAAAGAACTCCTGGGACCAGCAGTTGGCATAATGGCTATGTCACTGGACTCCCATGTAGTCGACCGCGGTTTGAATCCTGGACCCGGTGGCTTAAACGCACTGCAGGCATGGGGGCATGCATGCCCAAGATCCCAAGGGGAGAATGGAGGAGAAGGAGTTGCGGCGTGGCCATCCCCCCTAGGGAGGATTTCTTGCTTTCTTTCTCTCTCTGTCTTTCTGAAAGCAAGCGCACGAGCCCTATAGCAGAAACCTCTCAAAAACAAACAAAAAAACTCTTAATTGACAATATTTTTTTGCAAAGTTTTTATCAAACATCTCTGGCTTAAAATGAACTGTTATTAAATCTTGCATTAAAGCTTTCCACAAAGGTAATAATGATAGGAAATTTTTTTTTTTTTTTTTTTTTCTCTGTGATGTATGCACTCACCAAAGAAAAATAAGAGTACATGAGAAAGCACTCCATAGAACAGTGGCCACACTGTATTGCCTTCTCTTTCATTCTCCTCTAAGATTTTGGGCACGCATGCACATGTACCCAACATGTTTTTTAAGCTACCAGTCTGGGACTTGAACCACATAGGATCGAACTGCCTTAACACCATGATACCAGCTAGCCCTGGGAATTGCAATTTTGGTTGATACATGCGGTGTGATTATGGGATTAATAACCTAAAAAAATCCAAATCAGTTTGTTGAAAATCATACTACAGATCAGCATCTGCATTTTGCTACAGAGCAGCAGAAAGTATCTTTCTGATCTGTTTTGTGATTTTAGAAACATGTATTTAAGAGAGACAAATAAAATAAGTGTTATCAGAAAACTCAGTATATTCACTTGCTAAATTATAATGTTACATACAGCAAAAATAACTAATATGAAGATAAGCAGTCCCTGAGTTTAGGGTTTTTTTGCATCATACATAGCTGCTCTTTCAGGAGTGTTGGTGCCTTGGGGTTCACTTCTGGGTGTGACTCTCACGTTTACTTTTTTTTGAGGGAGAGCGATTTTTGCTGTAGGGCACATGTGCTCTATAGAGAGGCTGGGACAGAAAGCTTGAAATTACACCCCAAGGGGAATGGCCACACTGCAGTCTCTTTTCTATTCTTTTCATGGGGTTTTGGGCATATGCACTACACGCACCCAGCAGGAGTTTCAACCACTGGATCTGAGACTAACTGCAGCCAACCATGGAGGTCAGCACCTCAACTACTATGCCACCTGCTGGCCCCCAGGAAGCAGAGCATGTTAAAAGTTTTAGAGCTGAAAAGGATTTTTTTTTTTTTAAATTTACCATAGGGCACATGAGCTTGAGAGAGAGAGGTGTGGGGGGAGGGGTGAGAAAGCACCCACCGTGGGGTATAGTCAGGTGTGCACATGTGCTGCGTGAGCTTTTCAAGTCTCCAACTCTGAAACTGAAACTGCATGATCGTCCATTTAGGATCCAGCTGCCTTAACAAACATGTCGCCGACTGGCCCCAAAAGAGATTTTTTTCATCTAGTCTAATGCCCTGATCTGACAGAGGAGTAAATTGAAATGCAGGGTAATCATACTGCCTAGTAGTGATGGAATGTGTACCAGAAAATTCAGAGGCTGTTGACTGTTTCATAAATATTAGCCGTTATTATGATCCTTCTTCTGTGCCTTGCACTATGGAAATAACTGGGTCATAAGAAAAAGTTGAAAAACCCCTGTTGTTAAATACATTTATTGGCCTGTTAGAGGTATAAAATGCATTATATTGGGTTGTCAGGAAAGCCATGCATTTTTGCGTAGAAAAACAGAAAAATACGTCATGACTTCCCCGACAACGCAATACAATTTCATGTTAGTTTCTTTTTTCATTTAGAAGATCTGGAATCTTTTAATGCAGTAAGATTCTTATAAATAAGTATCAAAAGATACAAAAACTCGAGAAAATTTCAGTTTATATTGGATGTATATCCCTTTTCATGTTAGGGCAGTTACTCTATTAAGCTTGCTATTTCTCTAAGGTTAATACTTCTTTTTGCCCATCAACTGGATGTCCCACAGTGCCCCAAACTTCTCTTCTGCAAAAAAATGAAAGAACAAATAATAAAGATGCTTGGATGAAGGAAGAGAATTGAAAACTGCTACATGACACCACAAAGGCTTTTCTTGACTTACTTTCACTATTTACTATAAATGACTTTAAAAGTTAAAGGTGAATCTACAAGATGTACAGAATAAAAATTACTAAGAAAAAATATTTTGGAACATTGATTGTCTTTGGAAAGATATAAACAAACTATTAGATCATTGTCTCCTTATCCTATTCCCATTTCATCATTAGTACTTTAAATGTGAACAGCTCATAAGAACAAAAAAAAAAAAAAAAAAAAGAAAAAGAAAATGGACTGAAAGATAATTATAGCCAAGCAAGTCTATAATATGAAATTTAGGGGCCAACAGGTGGCATGGTGGTTAAGGGCACTGGACTCCCACATGACCGACTGGTGTTTGAGTCCTGGACCTGGCGGCTTACTTTCTTCCTTTCCTTTGCCCTCTCACTTGCTCTGCTCTCTCCAGTCAAGTTTAAATAAATAAGAATAAAATTATTCTTAAAAAAAAAAAGAAGTTTAAACAAGATTTTGTTTTCAGTTTAGAAACCAAACACTATTTTGATCTGATAGGATTACAGCATTGTTAGACTCTGGAGCTTTCTGTGAGGGTCAGCTTCTAGCTTGC